ACTATCATAAATAAATAAAATTTTTAAAAAAATAAACCTATTAAAAATTCTGCAGTCATGAAGTCTCTTGAATCCTTAATGCTTTTTTTCCAGAGCCACCAGTAGCTTTATAATTGTGCTTCTGAATTGGTTTTCTGACATCGAATTGTAATCCAAATTCTTTAACTCTGTTAAAGGAGGAGAGAATACTGTTTCTCATTCTTTCTTTTGTGGTGAGTTCTTTCTAGTCATTTTGCTCAGTGCAGAATGGCTATAAACGAGTTGTACTGGAAAAAGGTAGAAAAAAAAAGAGAAAAACAAACAAACAAAACAAAAGAAAAAAATCAAGGAGGGTATCCTCTGGTTCTATATACTGTAAATCCCTCGACTTCCCCTGCCACTTTCTAGTGCTGATTGGTCAAGAAGTTGCTCTTCCCCTGTCCTTCCAGCTGATCTTCTGGGGGAGGGGCCTATTGTGGTGATGGTCAGGTGTATACACCTGGGGGAGCTGCCCCAGCTCCTGCCAGGTGCACGACCCAATGTGAGTTGTTTATCCTGTGAGGTCTCTGTTCCCTGGTGGTTATGGTCGGTCCCATGCACAGGGTGACACCAGGAGGAACAACCACATTGGCAGCAGCCAGCTCTCCAGCCTTGGAGTCAGCTCCCACAGTAACTAGCGCAGCTCCCAGTCTGCACTGGCCTGAATGCTCCGGCGGTGGGGGGGTCGCTGATCTGCACAGCTAGGGGGGCGACCAGCGACAGGAGCATCCTCGCTCTCCCGGGCCCTCCGGTACTCTGCCTGTCCCAAGGAGAGAGCAGGATCCTGGGCGGTGTCCCCTGGCACCCTGGGATCTGGGACCTGCACTCCTGGAATTGTGCTCCTGGGACTGAGCAGCCCCCTCCGTGCGGAACCACTGTCTAAACTTTTCCCGAGGCCGCCAGTGTGCGCTCCAGCCCTTTACCACGCTCCGCCCGAGGTCTGTGGCTCACTTTCCCCCAGGCGCACTTCCTCTGTTAGTGACCCCGGGAACCTGGGGTCTCCACTGCCCCTCCTGGGATCGTGCGGAGTTCCCTGCGTGTGCCTTTCCCTGCGGGAAGAATCCAGTGCGGATTTTTAAAAGTTCCTTCTTCTCCTGGACTGGGTTTTTTTGCCCTGGAGGCTTCTGCCGCCAGGCCTTAGCCCGGCTTCTCGCGGGGTGGGGGGGTGGGGTCTCCCCACTTGATTATTTATATATATATTTTTCCGTCTTCCTACCTTGTTAGAAGCGTAAACTCTTCTCTCTGTAGTGTTCCAGCTTTTCTCTCTTTAAATCTCAGGCCGAATTTGTAGGTTTTCAGGATGATTTGAAAGTTATCTAGGTAGATTGGTGGGAACAGGTGTCTTGGGGACCCTACTCTTTCGCCATCTTGCCCCGCCCTCTATTTCAGTTCTTTTAAATACATTTTAGCATACCTAGATAGTTTTTATGGTCATATTCATTTATCTTTACTCAGATATTTATCCTATTTCATTTTCTTTCCTTTTTACTTCAGCTTTCCATGTGGGATCCTTTCCCTTTTGTCTTAAGAACACTTACTGAACTTTTCAATTCAATGCTGATGACTTTTGGCATTTACTGATTTTGTAAATCAGCTGCCATTCTCTTTTATCACTGTTCCATGAAGGTAAAATGTCTTTTCCTCTTGTCTAATTGTAAGACTGTTCTCTCTCTGGCTGGTTTTATGCAGTTTTACTATGATGTATCTTTAGACATGAGTTTGTTTTTACTTAGTTTAGTATTAAAACCCTCTTGAATCTATGATTTGTTATTTTTAATCAACTTGGGAACATTCCCAGGATATAATTTCTTCAAATATTATTTGCTTTTATCTTTACTCTCCTAGAATTTCAAATACATGGTATTAGAACTTTTTTTTTTTGGTATTAGAACTTTTTATTGTTAATATGTATCTTACTGTTTTCACCCCCACATTGCATTTTCTATCATTTTCTCAATGCTTCAGTCTGATTTTCCTTTTATTTTTCTTTTACCCCCGATTTCCTTATCAGTTAAGTTTAGTAGCTGTTACATTCATATATGAATCTATATCTTAATTATGTGATTTCTCACTTCCATTTGACTCTATAATTTTCATTTGTCGGGATCCCTGGGTGGCGCAGCAGTTTGGCGCCTGCCTTTGGCCCAGGGCGCGATCCTGGAGACCCGGGATCGAATCCCACATCGGGCTCCTGGTGCATGGAGCCTGCTTCTCCCTCTGCCTGTGTCTCTGCCTCTCTCTCTCTCTCTCTATCATAAATAAATAAATAAATAATTTAAAAAAAATTTTCATTTGTCTGCTAAAATCTTGTCATTTAAGTTTTATAATTCTGTTATTTAGTTGTGGGCCTGTGATTTCTCTTGGATTTCAGTTAATTTTTTTAATTCCTGTTTTGATTAAAATGAGACATTATGTATGAAAAACTGTAGAGATAAGTTGATGCTCAGGATAATGTTATCTTCCTTTTGAAATTTTTACTTTTTTACCTTTCTCAGATTTAGAGAAACTCCCTTTAGTACAGTCAGTAACAGAGCTGACTTGGGTCCACGCATCAGTCTATAAGAAGTATGGCCCATTTTCGCTCAAAAATTTCCTTTTGCAATTTTTACTTTTTTACCTTTCTCAGATTTAGAGAAACTCCCTTTAGTACAGTCAGTAACAGAGCTGACTTGGGTCCACACATCAGTCTATAAGAAGTATGGCCCATTTTCACTCACTATTACCGTTAGGATATAGCCCTTGTAAGGGAACATAACAAAACATTTTGGGTGTTTATGAGCTTCTCACACTTCAGTGAGCCTGAGCTCCAATTAATTGTCTTCACAACCCAAAAGAACACTGGAAGCTCTTTTCAGCTTCTTGGCCTCTCATCTGCTGTTTGTGATTCAGAAAATTCATCTGGGAGAAAAGCTATGTCAAAAGCCTGGATTGTGTCTTGTTTCCAACTCTGGATTCTTGGCTCCTTAAATTCTAGCTTCCTTAAATCTAGACCTCAGATACCCTTAAGCAGATGGTCTTTTAAATTTTTGACCTGCTTTTGTTGTGTTCTGCAAAAACCTAGTCCTTGTTGAAAATGGAAACTCTTTTCCATATTTTTAACTACCACCAAAGTCAATCTCTATATAGCTTTTATTCAACCTCCAAGTATTTTCAACTGCCTATTAGATATCTCTACTTTAACGTCTCATAATTATCTCAAATTCAATTTATCCACAACAGAACCTATCATTCAATCCTGCTGTTATGTCTTCTACATTTTGTATCAATGTAGGTATCACTCAATCGAAAAACTGGGGAGTTAGATTCTTTTTTTTTCCTTCAGAACTTATGTCTAATCAGTCATCATAGCTAAAATTGACATTCTTTTTCATTGTGTGTCTAAATCGTTACAATAGTTATCCATTATTCTCTTCCAATTCTAGCTATTCTTATCAAATTCATCCTTTCTAATGCATTTCCACCTACTTAATGCTTTTTCCTCAAGTAAATCCAAGCCTGTCATTTCCTACTTAAAAACTCTTCAATGGCTTCCCACTATCTGCAAGATATATACAGTTCAGTACAATACAGTCAACAGTCTTTGATGATTTAACTTAGCATCTGGCTTTTTACATCTCCTATTTTCACTTGACCTATTCCTTCTTGTCATTGTGTTTTAATGATATATATTTATTTTAGCTATTGGAATGTACTATGATCTTTTTAATATATTCTTTTTCTTTGTTTTTTTGCATGAGATAATTTCATTTGAAATGCCTTCCCACCTTCCACTCTGCTTTGTAAACTATAATTAATCCCCTGCTCAGAGGCTGTATCCTTCATAAAGCTTTATTCCATTTTCCTTTTATTTACCATCAAAAGGATCATTATCTCTTCTGTACTACTTCAATTTTTTTCATATTTCTGGTAATATATGTGTGACACTGCATAGTCTTGATTTGCTGTTTGTTTCTTTCTCAAAAACTGCTTGTGGTGAGGTCCCTGACTTTTCTTTGATACTCTCGAGTTTCATACAGTCATTAGCACACAGAAGACACCTAGTGTGTATTGAACTGATAGACATAAGCACTGAAATTCTTAGACCCATGAAATCTATCTTTTTATAATATGAAATAACAATTGATGAAACCTCTTGAGAAACAAGACAGAAAACAAACAAACAAACAAAAAAACAAAAACAAAAACCCAGCAGCACATCTCAAAGAGAGCTACATGAACTCAGTGGCATGGCTAATATTGCTGAGCAAGATTTTCTGAAGTTTTGTTCCCTATTAGAAGAGAGGAGGAATCTGAATTCAGAAAAGATTCTTGAGAAATTCTCATTGTGGAAAAGCAGCTTGTTTGCTTTGAAAAGCAACTGAACAGATGACCCAAGTAATGATAAGAAATAAGAATCAAGGGAAATGAAAGGGAAGAAAGCAGAAACTCTTGGGGCAGAAGGGAACTTTAATAAGGAGAGGAGCAGTCAAAAAAGAACAATGAACAGACTTTGAGTTGGATGACTTTTGATTCCTATTTTGTTCAAGTAGAAGCTAGTTCAGGTAGAAGAATTCATACTGAAATGTACTCTTCACTTGTAGGGGCATAAATTATTTAAAGTTTTCCTGAGAATTATTCAGTATCATGTTCCAAGTCTTTAGAGCCTGCACTCTAGAGACAATCACAAATTTTTTTTACGGTCTCTTATAAAAGTTCAATAGGGAGAGTTGACAGCTTCAGAGTTAGAGTTGACAGGTTCAGAGTACTTAGAAAATAAATTTTTCCTTGTAATAATATATTTAAATAGGGAAAAGCTTTCCACTTGGAGCCTACAAAAATATGTGCAGAGAAATTTCTTGAATACTAAGAAGAAAAATCCAACTTGTTTTGTATTTTCTTTTGCACAAAATCTGTGGGCTTTGTAGCAGCTTTGTTATACAGAGATATCATTAGGGCCCACATCAGGTATGAGCACCAGGAAAAATCTCACATTTCTAAGGTTTTTAAAAAGCGCTCTCAGCTTCCTCTGTAACAGCTGTGAGAGTATCTTCATTATGACGATTCTGAAAAAAAAATTGACCTCTTATAAGTCATATCATGCTTCCTAAGATCATATATGCAACAAATACTTAATTCTTAAAACCATAAGCAATAGTGATGTTTATAGAATAAAATGTTAGTGTCATGTGTCCTCTTTGTGTCCCAACTCTACTTCAATCCACTCTCTTAATTCCTACTAGATACTTGTAACCTTTTTTTTAAAGTAGGCTCCCCACATAGGGTAGAGCCCAACATGGGGCTTGAACTCATGACCCTGAAGTCAAGACTCGAGCTGAAATCAAATCAACAGTTAGATGCTTAACCAACTGAACCACCCAGATGTCCCAGACACTTGTGACTTTTGGCATACTTCCAAACTTTAACAACAACTAAAAATTCTTCTTGAACATGAAAGGATGCTGGAACCCCAAAAGTTATTTTGTCATAGTATTTCCCAATTACTATCCAGTTTTTCCTTCCAAAAATAACTTGTCATTTAGACCCTTAGGTAATTAATCTTTTCTTTTCTTTCCAGTTTTCATAGCTCACATACTTCTGTAAACATTCTAGTTCGGCTTTAGTTTTGCCTGGTTTCAAACTTCATATGAATGGAATCATAAAGTATGCATTCTTTGGGTCTGACTTTATATACTTAACATTATATATGTGATAATCTTCCATGTTGTTAAGTATAGGTATAGTTCATTTTAATTGCTATGTAGAATGTTATTAGAGTAATATACTTCAATATATTCACCACTCACACATTCACATTGTTTCCACTTTGAGACTATTATGAATAATATTGGTATTTTTCTGGAAGTGTATCATAGTACATATGGACACACATTTCTGTTGGGTATAAACTAAGAATTGAAATTATTCATTAGGTATGCATATCTTAACTTTACATAATAATGCTCCAAAAATTTTCAAAGTTGTAATAATTTACATTTCAAGCAGAAGAGATTTCTTCTATTAATCAGCACCATCATCACTTAGAATCACATTTTGAAAGTTAATCATTGTTAGGAAATGAATATCTCAGTGTAGTTTTAATGGTATTATTGAAATGACTGGATTTATGTCTGATATCTTGCTATTTGTTTCTATAGGCCTTTGTCTTTTATATTTCTCCTTTGCCTATTAATACTTTCTGTATATTATCTTACTTCTTTGTTGATCTTATTGTACTTTTTGAGTGTTCTTACTAGTCGAGTAATTAGAATGTGCATCTTAATTTATCACAAACTGCTTCAGTTATTTGCTACTTTAATTCCAATAAAGGGATTTTTTTTATTGCTGCCCTGTATAGAACTAGAGAAGACACCTAGAAAGTAAGTTTCAGTGCTTTTTGTAGGACACAGATACACACTTTACAAAACACTTTGCCAAAAAGAAAACTTGTACCTCAGTATGAATACATGGCAAGGAGTTTATCCCAGACCAGTTTAATTCTTGAGTGGGCTAGTGGCCTGTGGCCCTCAGTGCAAGCCTTCAGTCTGTTCTAATGTATAGCCAGGCTTCAGAAGCACTGGTGTGAAATAAAGGAACCTGACCTTGGTCTCAGCCCTTAAGGGTTATTTTCTAAAGGCATGTTTTTGTCTTTCCTGAGTCTGTCCTCTTTCCTTAGTTCTAGTCCTTTTGACTCTAGTTCATGACTCCTTTTAGTGTGAGTGAAGGGATGAACCAAGATACCCTGGGGACTTTGTTATCATGTAGCTCTATTCCTCCCATCTGCCTTTGTGATATTATTGTCATATATATTATACCTGCATGTTATAAACTCAGCAATATAGGTTATAATTTATTTATTTTATAATCTTATCTCTTAAAATTTCAGAAGAAAAACGAGACTATATATCTATAGAATAGAGGTTGGTAAACTCTGGAATATGGACCCAGTCCAGCGCACTACCTATTTTGGAAAGTTTTGTTGGAAGGAAACCATATTCATTCATTTATACGTTGTTTATGGCTGCTTTCATACTACAAGGTAGAGCTGAGTAGTTGTAACAGATTGACTTAAGGTTGATAATAACGTGACTTTAAAGTAAGGAGATTATTTTGGATTATCTCGTTGGGCCCAATGCAATTTATGTGTAACTGTCTTTTCATTCAGTTAAGGGAAGCACAAAAGGTATATTTATTTCGTTTTTTTTTTATATATAGTCATCTGCAGTAATTACCTTTACCAATGCTCTTTATTTCTTCATGTGTTTTTGAGTTCCATCTGATATCACTTCCTTTCAGACTAAAGAGCTTCCTTTAGTGTTTCTTGTAAGGCGGGTTTCCTAGCCACATACTCTCTCTTTGCTCCTCTGTGTCTTTATTTCACCTGCATGTTTGAATGATTAATTAAAGGTGCAGAATTCGTGCTTGACTGCTTTCCTTTAACACTTTGATGTGCCATCGCATTGCCTTCAGGCCCCTGTTGTTTCTGATGAGAAGTCAGCTGTTAAACTTACTGTTGTTCTATTGTACAGAAAATCATTTTTCTCTTGTTGCTTTTAAGATTTTCTTTTTTTAGGTTCAGTTTTGTTCTCAGGTGTCTAGGAGTGAATCTCTTTGTGATTATTCTAATTGAAGGCTACTGAGCTTCTTACATATGTAGAATAATATTTTTAATCAAATTTAGGAAAATTTTTGACATTATTTCTTCAAGTATTTTTCCTGTTCCCTCATTTTCTGGGATTCTCATTATTCATATGTTGGTATACTGGATGGTGTCCCAAAGATCTCTGAGGCTCTATTAATTTTTCTTCTTTTTATTTCCTGTTCTTCAGATTGGATGATCTATATCATTCTATGATGTTTGCTGATTTTTGTCTTCTTTTAGCACAAATCTTTTTTTCATTCCCTTGGTGAGTTCTTTATTTCAGGAACTGTATTTCTAAACTACAGAATTTCCATTTGATTCTTTCTAATAATTAGTATCTCTTTTATTTATATTATTATTTATTAAAAAGTAATAGTTTTATTGAAATATAACATATACAAAGAACTGAACATATTTAATGGATGCAATTAGACAAATTTAGACTATGCAAACTCATGATATCACAATCAAGGTAATAGATATTCATACTCTTATTTGATGAGTCATTGTTATCATTTTTAATGTTAATGTTAACTAGTATGTTAATTTTTAAAAAGATTTTATTTACTTATTCATGATAGACCGAGAGTAAGACAGAAACATAGGCAGAGGGAGAAGCAGGCTTCCCACGGGGTGCCTGATGTGGGACTCGATCTCAGGACCCCAGGATCACGATCTGAGCCAAAGGCAGATGCTCAACCACTGAGCCACCCAGGTGTCCCAAATACGTTAATTTTTTAACATGTTTTTCTTTACTTCTTTAAAGTCTTTCTTTCTGAAAGCCAACATTTGTCATTCTCTTCCCCCCAAAACTGTAGCTACTGGCTGCTCTTTTTTTAAGTGTATATGTTACCATTTCCTGTTCTTTGCATGTCATACTTTTGTTGTTGAAAAATGGATATTTTAGACAATATATTGTAGTGACTCTGGTATCTGATTCCCTTATCTTCCCCCAGAGTGCTTGTTATTGCTGCCTTTTGTGACTTGCCTATACTAATTTTGTGGAGTCTGTCTCCCTTGCAGTGTGTGGTCTCTGACATGTCTACTTACTTTTTTCATTTATTTAAATTCACATTTTTATTTTTAAGACTGGTTTAAGGGGAATCCCTGGGTGGCTCAGTGGTTTAGTGCCTGCCTTTGGCCCAGGGCATGATCCTGGAGTCCCGGGATCAAGTCCCACATCAAGCTCCCTGAATGGAGCCGGCTTCTCCCTCTGCCTGTGTCTCTGCCTCTCTCTCTCTCTCTCTCTCTCTCTGTGTGTGTGTGTGTGTGTGTGTGTGTGTGTGTCTTTCATGAATAAATAAATAAAATCTTTAAAAAAAGACTGGTTTAATGGGGTTCTTCTCTGGTCAGCATAAGTAGTCAGGCAATGACTGGTTAGAGGTTAAGGGCAGCACTGTGTCCCCCTAAAGTTCAGTATGTTAAAGTCCTAACTCCCAGTGCCTCAGAATGTGAGATTGAGTCTTTAAAGCAGTAATGAAGTCATAATAAAGTCATTACAGTGGGTTTTAATCCAATGACTGAGGTCCTTATAAGATGAGGAGACATACAGAGGGAAGACCCTGTGAAGATGTTGGGAGAAGACAGCCATCTAAAACCCAAAGAGATGAACACCTAGACACCTATGCTTTGCAGCATTTCACTAGGGAAAAGAATGTAATGTAATTCATGAAAACTGAGGGACTAAACACATATGAAGAATGAGAGCTATAAATATGTACAATTGATATTTGCATTATGGACTTTCACCATGTTCAGCATTTGGCAAAACACTTTAAAGAGGGAGGAGCTGGAAATTTGCAAAACTGTAAAAAGACATTGCCTGTTATCTGAGGAACATGGCTTACAAAATTCTCTTGGTTGCTCCAATGTCCCATATCCCTTTTAGAGAAGCAATTTTAACTCAAATACCAGGGCTTTGATCATTTAAATAATCTAATCTAACCCCTCTATTCACCTAATATCACATGCAAACACATAAGGTGTTTTCCTTATTATGTAGCCCACTAAGAGCTACAGCAAGAAACTGGAAAAAAAACTGTAATACAAATTTCTTGGTGGCTTTTTTGGTGGGGAAGGGTGAATACAGCTGATTACTCTGAATGACCAGAAATTTGGAATTTTTGTCTTTGGAGATTTTTTTTCCGTGGATTTCTTTCTGTACCTTGCTTAATTATATCTGTAAAGGCCATTTTGCACAAATATAAGGGCCAACTTGTTAGAAAATTATGCATTCCAAAAGAAGTAATATCCTTCCCACTATGGGTCACATAAGCTTCTCAGTTCTTCTAGGGGAGGGAACAATTTTCTATACTACATGCTACATTGACCCCACCCTCCCTTGCCCCAACAACATATAATTTGTTTCTTCATTCTCATTCATTTCTTCTTTCATTTATTTAATTTAAAAATTTGAATCTCTCCAACTATACGAAGTAGTTTGCCCATTATTTGAGATGAGATACATGATTAATTCATCAGTTCATTTATTCAGCACATATTTTGTGTGCTCACTCTTGTACAGGGCACATGAGATAAAATGATCCATGAAAGAGATATGTTCTGTACTGACATGGAACTTGTCCTTTAGAGAGAGTCACTAGTGTTAAATTCTACTCTTCCTTTAGAAAATAAATAAATAAAAATAAAACCCATGGAGAGAGGCCTCAGAACCCTACCAACACCTTGATCTTGGAATCCCAGCTTCCAGAATTGTGAGAAAATAAATTCTTGTTAAGTCACATAGTCTGTGGTAGTTAGAGTAGCCCTAGGAAAGTAATATACACTTTGAGCCAGTAAGACTTCTATACTCCAAAATGGAACCTGGGGTGGAGGCTAGGAGGAATTGGACAGTCTCAAAATAGAATGTCACAGACACCCACCCATTATTCTTACTGAGGTTTAGTAAATTTTTTTAAGTAAAAAAATGTTTGTTGTATGCTTTGGTAAATTCCCAGAATCTTTAAAAGGTTGTTTATTGACAGTCTGTCCAGTTTTATCATTTCTTTTTAGGGAGCTTTGCTATATCCTCACTCAGCCATTCTGGAAACCCCACTCATTCCCTATTCTTAGAAAACTCTTTTTCCCATGTTACTTCTACACTTCAGTTAGTCCCTGCAGGGAGGTCTTTTCTTATTAACCTATGTAAAAATAATCTTTGCTTTATCTCCTTTTCATATTACTCCATAACATTTTTCACTTCCTTAAATTATTTTATATCTATATATAGATATATATACTCATAAATATATATGTATATATATATATACACAAACACATATGCATATATATTTGTTGTTTTCCTCCTCCACCAAAATGCAAGCTTCCTGATGGTAGGGATGTTGTATTGTTAATCATTGTGTCCTTAGTGCCTATTACAATGCCTAGTAAGTAGTAGGCCCTCTGTATATATTTGTGAAAGAATGAATGAGTGTAGATACCTAATTTTTTGTTTTGTTTTGAGAGAGAAAGAGAGAGCACACAAGAGCAGCATTGGCAGGGGGTAGAGGGGGAGAGAGAGAGAGAGAGAGAATCTTAAGCAGGTTCCACACCCAGTGGGAAGCCCTATGCAGGTCTCAATCTCGTGACTCTGATATCATGACCTGACTGGAAGTCAAGAGTTGGATGCTTACCAACTGAGCTATCCAGGCACCTTGATATCTAGTTGTTTTAAGCTGTGATAAAATAATCATTCTCATAAACTTTGATAACATCCTCAAATGCTATAATAATCCACAGCACTATAAAAGTACTATAAAAGTATAAAAAATAAAATGTCATTATACTTTTAGGAATCAACTGCCTACAGAAATACTAGTCTTATATGCAAAGATCATTGCTTATAATTTTTTAAAAACTGGAAAAAAGCTACATATGCAGCAAGAAAAAATGTGAAAATAAATACTAATGAAAAGTATGATGCTATTAAAAGGCATTTTATAATGAAAAGATGTTTATGATAGATGAGAAAAATACATGTGACAAACATTATGAATATGAATTACATGATTAGTAAACAAGAAAACTGTGTGTCTATATGCATTTTTTGTTTAGATTTGGATGTGTGTGTATGATGAGGACTACAGTAAGAGGACAACTTTTTACTCTATAATTTTATAGTTTAATGTATAACTTAATAAATAATGAAAAATTTAAAAGAAAATATTGTGACATATTCCATTTTCATGAGTTCTAACATATTGTATCATCTCCTTATAGAATGTATGTGCTAGAAATCAGCATCTCTTGATTTGCCAGAGAGTAGATAAATACTTACCAAATCAATACAGCCAAAGATTGAGTATGTTAATGCAATAGAAAATTCCAAGGGGTAAGATACCAGTAAAACCCGTGAAACTTCCCTTCCAAGTTTCTGAAACCAGAAAATAGGGAGAGGTCTCGCATTATTATATTTAATAAGTGCAAATATGTTCACAGAAGGACCTCCTCCTATAAGATTCAAGGAAAATAGGAAAAATAAATAAGCTGCTTTCACCATTCGACTTTCCTAGTCATTTATACTTCTTTGTCTTCCACTCTACTTTTCCTAGCCTTAATTCCCACAGTTCATTATCTTCAGCTTCCACTGGTGGTCTTCATCACTCAGCACTCTTGTCTCACTTCTTAAAACTATTCATTCTCGGGGATCCCTTGGTGGCGCAGCGGTTTAGCGCCTGCCTTTGGCCCAGGGTGCGATCCTGAAGACCCGGATCGAATCCCATGTCGGGCTCCCGGTGCATGGAGCCTGCTTCTCCCTCTGCCTGTGTCTCTGCCTCTGCCTCTCTCTCTTTCTCTCTCTCTGTGTGACTATCATAAATAAATAAAAATTAAAAAAAAAACCTATTCATTCTCATTATTCTTTTCATCACAGTCTCTATCTAAGCTCTTCAATCAATAATATTAGACTCTTCTGTCTCCAGTAATAACTACTAAAGACACTTTATCAATCAATTTTCATGTATTAAAACAACTGTTATTAATTACAGACCTTCTTAAATTTGTATGTATGGTGATAAAAATCACACATAGAAATTGCTGTAGCATGATGTGGAAGGATGAAATCATCCTCAAACAATATCTCACTTGGAAGTATACAGTGATTATAATTTTGCTGGGATAATAAAGCAGATCCCTTCTGTTGAGATCAGAAAGATATTTTCAACTATATATCAGGATGAATGATTTTGGTCTTAATCTTGAAAATAAATGTAGTTATTGTGCTGGCTATAGAAAGAATGATTCAGACCTGGGAAGAATAACATTACAATCGTCTCTCCTTCAATTCTTTCTCTTCTTCCTTCTCCATTTTTTTGGATTTATTTACTATATTTTATACAAGAAACTATTAGATGCTAGGGATTAGATGGCAAATATGAAATGACAAAAAAATCCCTACTTTCTCAAGGTTTATATATACTGAAGTAGAAAAGACAGAAAATAATGTAAGGTGACATATAATAAGGTTAAAAACTTGCCCAGGAATTTTAGGGAACACGAAGTTGGCCTGAGCCACTCATATCAAAGAAGGCTTCATAAAGAGGTAAGACATTGGAAACAAGAATAGGACTGAGAAAAATGAAGGAGGGAAGCAACATTCTAGGCAGCTTTAAATTTTTCATTTACTAGTTTTGTTGTAATGTATCTTATTCCAGAAAAAATGTAATAGCATACATTCAAAGTATGACAAAATAATTAAGGAATGGAAACATAAAATAGAAACAATAATAAAACTAAAATACATATTACATGACCTATGGTTTGATAATGTGAGCAAAAAATTGAATGCAAGAATGAACATGTTTTAAGAAAATGATAAAGCGAGTTTAACTCAGGTACAGGGAGTGTATGATATTAACAAGAGGATAAAGAAAAGACTATGGAGGATTTAAAATAACAAGTTTCCTTATCAGAATTCTGATTTAATTTTGTTGGCAGAAACACAATTGTAGCACTTTAGCTGGGAAGTACTGGTGGCCTCTTAGTTGCTAAGATTATAAAAAGTCCTTTTCCCGACCCTTAATTTGTATGTGTGTTATTCTCAAATTCTGTCCCTGAAAATAGCAAGATATCTGCCAGAAAAGTTCAAACAAGCAAACAACAGCAAGAATGACTGAGTTCTTGACAGGTGATTTAGGCATTTGAGTCCAGCCTAAGTTAATAAGTGCCCTTTTCTTGCTTTAGTCAATTTGGGTTGTTTTTCTTGTCACTTACAACCAAGGAATCCCTAATTATTAAAAGTTAAGGTAAATAACAATATGTGGTAATTGGGAAGATAGAGAAAAGAAGGGTAAAAGATTACATCAAGGTTTTGAACTTCAGAGGTTGAATAAGGGAGTCTTGCAGCACAGTACTTTTCAGGAAGCAAGTATTTTCCATTTACTATCTGTTTAATTTGAGATAGTGACAAGAGAAGCATATCCAAGTGAAACATCAAGCTGGCCATTAGAATAACATGCCTGGAGTCTGAGAGACAAAGTAGTTTAACTAATAGGTATATGTTAGCACTTTCTCCATTGGCATAAAGAAGCTGAGAAGCAGGGAAGTCAAGAAACTGTCCACAGAGTCACACACAGTGAGTACTGAAGACAGTGTTTGAGTAAAATCAGTCTGGTTCTGGATTTATCCTATCAACCATTTTGCTATATGAGAAGTGTGTTTCAGAGACATGCACTTTTTGGGATAGCTGAACCTACCTGGAAACACTGGTAACTTGATGAGTTTATGGGTTTAAGGAATGAGCTTGCATTCAGAAAAGCTGGCCTATAGTAAATCTTGTAAAATGTTGGCTGCCTTAGTGAATGCAGGAATGGGATTCTATAATGCCTCTAGGAGAAGACTGTGGGTTAGAGATGTGGGTCTAATATATAAATTCATTCATGTCATTAATCACAGCAAACAAAACTGAAACTTGTGCATTTAGGAGACTGAAATTCATCATTACTACTGAGTTCAGGTCAGATAAATAGTCTACAATACTCTTTGCAAAAGATGGGTCCTGGATATTATGCTGTATTATCTTAAACTGATGATTATAAACTTCTGAATAAGAGTGAGCAGCTAAGTAATTTGAAAGAATCCTTCACTTAATAACCTAATTCTTCCTCCTTATCTCTGCCACCAAAATTAGAAATGAAGATGCCCAGATTGAATTTCCAGGGAAAATGGAGAATTTGTTTAAAATGTATAGGAAAAATCTAATGCATACTTATTTAAATCAATCCATCACTCATTACACACAATCCATTTTGGGGTACTATTGCATCTTCTCTCATCCTTTCATTGTCCTCTAGGTTTCTGTTCTTCATGTTTGGATTCCTTCCGCTGATGGTTCCTTTATCATATAGTGCTGGTGTAGAGAGGGAAATGTTGAGGTGGGGGGAGCAGGAAATTGATGCCTCATCTACAATGAGTCTTCTCATTAGAATTACTTTTGAATTAAAATTTTCAAGTTGTTATTTTTTGTTTTGTTATTCAGCAATAAAGAGGAGCTCTACTCTGATATGTTCTCATTTGAAACAGAAGAATTTTATAAGTATTGCTAAAGTCTTTTGGTGCACTAATATTCTGTTAATTCTGAATTTAAAGCCAATACAATCAAAACAAATCAGTTGTGATATCAGTAAAGATATTCACATTTACTGGAGAATGTTACTATCTTAAGAAGAAATACAGTTGGATGCCTGGGTGAAGAAATACAGTTGGATGCCTGGGTGGCACAGTGGTTGAGCATCTGCCTTTGGCTCAGGTCATGATCCTGGGGTCCTGCGATGGAGTCCCACATTGGGCTCCCCACGGGGAGCCTGCTTCTCCTTCTGCCTGTGTCTCTGCCTCTCTCTGTGTGTTTCTTATGAATAAATAAAATCTTAAAAAAAGAAATAGTTATTTCTCTGGTACAAAGTATGTGATTGGATAGTCAATTAAATGGAAGCAAGACACATTCATGCACATTTAGCACGAGGACATAAAGCAAAATTCATGTGAGACAAAAAAAAATAGGCTGTGCATGGGGATGCCTGGGTGACTAAGTCAGCTGAGTGTCTGAGTCTTGATTTTGGCTCAGGTCATGATCTCAGGGTCTCAGGATGGAGCCCCACAAAGGGATCCGTGCTCAGTTGGGTGTCTACTGGAGGATTCTTGCTCTCTCTCCCTTCTCTCTGCCTCCCCTCCACCTGTGATCTAAAATAAATAAATACATCTTTAAAAAAACATGCTCAGTATAAAGAGCTCTGGGTTAAACCAGAAATTACCAGGTAGTCTATAATGCCAATTATATGAATCAGTAGCAGAATTATTTTGCTGATTTTGGGAATGGTTTTAAGGTCAGGACTATACTTTTCTTTCATTAAGAGAATCATCAGTGACCCCATGCCTAATGCATATATACTTATCAAGGAAGCCTTCATATTATTTACTTGCTTTAATTGGGCATGTCAGGAATTTAAACATTCTATTAATATTTACTAAAAAATCATGTTAGAATTACTTCTGAATTAAAAGTTTCAATCAAGAGCTTACTACTTAAAGAAAAGAATATTATGGAGGCCAGTAACAGCCTTATTTTACCTCTACAGTCTTTAAAGCCTCAGAAGAGAATTAAGATGTTTGAAATTAAGATGTTCCTAAAGAACTGGTCACTTACCGCTTGTCCATAATTCCTATATGACACGGAATTAAAAGAAGACAACTCAATTGTTGTTAGAACTGATGCAATAATTGCAATAATTATGCAGAAGATGTTAGTGGTCAAAGCACATGTAATCTGAAAAGAAGATATATGGTAAGCTTGTTGTATTCAGAATAAACACTTTGTTTAAACAGTTTGTATTGCTGAAAAAAATCATTTAGTCAAAGCTCTGATCTACTTTCTGAAGCTTTAGAGGTGCTGGTATGCTTGCCATTAGAATAAAATACTTTCCTGGCTTATGTGAAACCCAGTTAATCTGGAGGGAACAGTGAACTATCACACCAATAGGCATCAGCCTTCCATTTGGGCTAAAAAATGTTGTAATTTATAATCTTCTGAGTTATTTGGAAGAAATATTAAGTACAGGATTTGAACAAAAGTAGTTCCACAGTAAAATGAAAAAGAAACAAAAAAGATGGAAAATGACTGCTCATAGAAATAAGCCAAATTAAAAAAAAATAAGCCAAATAAGATTCATTGATTTTTAATCCAGGATTTTCATTCTCTAGGGAAATCCATCGATATCTTTGAATATAAATTTTTATCTGTACAATTGTGAGATCATACTCATTGATTTTGTAGCTCTAAGAGTCTAAGATTTTTTTTTTTCTTCTCAGTATCTTATCTATCCCATAGATGGATCTTCAGGAAAGATCTTCTACTGTATTACAAGATACAATCCTGTTCCCAAACTAGTTAGGAAAGTGAAGTTTTACAGTAATATTATGTCTATATATAAAGGCATTATTAATTTTTTGCTACTAGTAAAGTTCATACAATGTTAAAGGTATATTACCAACCCCCCAAAAAAACCCTATATTTAAATTTAGAAACTTTACATAATGATTCTAACCATTATAGATTACAATCTACATTAAATTATGTGCTCCTAGCTTTTGTTTAATTCTTTGTAAGTAGGGTAGGGTCTTTCATTGTTGAATCACTAAAACCTACTTAGCTGTATTAGAAGTGATTTCTAGGATACCCTAAGCATCTTCACTTACCATTCCTTGAGTTGGATGCCTTGTTGCTCTTATTATGGAGACTCCTGCAATGATAAACTGGATATAAAAACATATTTATAAATACTCATTGATAGTGCTCATCAACTTAAAATGTATTTTTAACAACTCCCTCTTTTAGGTAAATTATTTTTAGAATATCAAGAGTAACATAATATAAAGAAGTTTCAGTAGAAGGGGTCAGAACAAGTAATGAAATGAAAGCGCACAGCAGGGTCATTTAATCACAGAAACATAGGGGACAGTGGGCAGAATTCAGGTTGTGGTATATGCCAAAGACGACTTAAAGGGTCCTGAATCAAGGGCCAAGTTTGCTTATATTTGTGCAAGCTTTCTGAACTCACCTGATTAGCATTTCAAATGCTATCCTTCCTAATAAAATGAAGCCACTGATTACAATTACTGTATACATATCCAGATACGAAAAAAGTGGCTCATGAGTCTACCCCAAATTGTGTTTGTACAAAATATATCTCTTGAGACTGTGGCCATTATTAATGTAATAATAATTCATGTTTTTGCCCTTTTTTTAAAAAAAAGAATTTCCATTATTTCATACTAGGTTACATTGTCTATTTCCCAGAAGTGTAAAGCTATGCCATATTGTTTGAAGGTGAGTTGCATAATTTCCTTGAAATACTCCCTTTGTCTTATCTGTTCCAGTGTTGGTTTTTTTTTTTTTTTTTTTTTTTTTACAAAAATCTAAGTCAAAGGATAATCTGTGGAAAAACAGCATTCAGGCTATACCATTTAAGGAAGGCTAAACCTTAAAGCTACTAACTCCTCCAGGATAACTTAAACTTACACACTAAGCACTTCATTTTGTAACAAAAGCTTAGATTTCTAAGGAATTAGACAATGAAAGGAAGAATATAAAGTTGAACTTTAAACCGGAGTGCTCTGTAGCTAGAGTATCAAACCATGAGCTTCACAAAATGCCTTTCAAAAGTTTATGACAGTTTTGCATTGGATTAAATTTAATTGAAATTTTAGATACTTTATTCCAGGAGCTATTTTTATGACGTACAATTAAACACTGACAGACATTAATCATTTATCTGATTGTCTGAAAATTCAATATTTTTTTCTAAAGCAATTCTTTGACATTTCTGAGCCAATGTATAGAGGCAGGGGATCTCCTAGACGCAACTGCTTTCTCTATAGCACTCTCAAATGGTGGCCATTTTCTTTTTTTTTTTTTAATTTTTTTTTATTGGAGTTCAATTTGCCAACATATAGCATAACACCCAGTGCTCATCCCACCAAGTGCTCCCCTCAGTGCCCATCACCCAGTCACCTCAACCCTCCCCCCCCCCGCCCTTATAACACTGGTTCTACATGTTGGGTAAGTGGTCTCCTCATCCACTGATGACTTGGTCACTCTACTCGTGGTGATTTGAATTCTTGTCTCATTCTCTCTGTAATACTTCTTAAACCTTGGTAATTTATGTATATATGTGTGATCCTTCTAATACCTTGGGCTTGTGGTTCTTTGAATGTCTCTTCTCTAGTCCTCTGATTTCATCCTAGCTCAGTCACTCACGACCATATTCATTTTTTTTTTGTGCTTGTTTCTGCCATTAAGTAGAACATCTTTCAAATCTCAAGTATCCCACTTTGACCACTAGCTTCTGTATTTCTACATCACATCTTATAGCATCATAACTCTAACAATCCTTTGACCTCATCTGGATCTATAATCGAGGCCCTTACCTCCCTGTTATATTCCCTCCTTTACCAGCTTAAATTCCACGGCCAACTATTACACTCGCTAATGTACACTTTCAACTCCTTTGCACTATTCTTGTTTGATCATAGATGCATGGTTAAACCCAAATTCTGATTAAATGCAGTTCTCCTTCTCACTGAATGCCTGAACCAATGCAGCCAAACAGGACCAGAGAAAGACACACAATCATCTTGGCCCATCTCACTACACACATCATGTTCCTAAAGCTTAAGTGAGCTCTTAATGCTTAGTGAAAGTCAAACTACTTTTGCACAATGCATATACTCTCTCACTTTTTCTAGATGACTATTTCATGTCCTCTCATCAAAAATCCAATCCATCATCCCATTCTCATTTTTAGCTCATGATCTGGCTTCCTAATTTGCTGAGATATTTGAAGCCATTGGAAGAAAAGTTCCATAAGCTCCCAACATCCTATCTACCTGCCTATCAAAATTTGTCCTTTCTCTTTGTTCCTCTACCTTTCCATCCTATTACCCATCTTGGCACTATTTACATTAAAGATGGATAATTATTTCTTATGAGGGCTATCCTATATGTTGTGGGATATTTAGCCATATCCTTGGCTTCTGCCTACTAGATGCTCATCCCAGCTGTGAAAACCAAGAATGTCTCCAGACATCACCAAATATTCTCTAAGGGGCAAAACCACCTCTAGTTGAGAACCACTGCTAGAGACAAACTGTCCATGAACCAAAGTATTTATGTGTTAAGATTCATCATCTCTTGCCTACATTGAGTCTAATAATCCCTCCCTCCATCCATTTATTTCATATCGATTTTCCCTCTTCTGGTTTAGTCCCCTCAGTAAAAGACATGATACTTCCATCTTACTGAAACAAATAAGCAAACTTTCTCTTGACTGAAATTTCCTCCAGCTACTACCCCATTTCTCAAGGCCACATTACACCAGCATCCTTAAAGGAGTTGTATTTGCTGTGTCTAGTTCTTCTCTTCCTATTATTTCTTAAACCAACTAGTCAGGTTTTGCCTCACCATTCCTTGTCCAGTTTATTGCTGGCTCCCACACTGTTAACTCCAATGGTCAGTTCTCAGCCCTATTTGGCAAAACAACAGAATTTAATATAGTTTATCTTTCCCTATTTGTTCACTTAGTTTTGAGGCTGCCATGCTCCTCAAATTTTTCTACTACCTTATGGCTGTCTGGAAACCATAGAAGAAAGCAGGTAATGTCAAATTTAGATAATATTTGAGTATAGGCTTATTGTGTGAAGAAGGTAAGGACCCTAAATATGAAAATTAACTATGCTAATGGATATTAGGTTATGATTCTTTGTCTTTAACATATCTAAAGACACTCCAACCTATGGTTGTCATTGTGTATTCCCTTCTGTATCCACATTTCTTGGCAAAATGTGAGGTTTTGCCTTGTAAATTAAAGGTGCTCAAAAAAACATTTGTCGAAAAAAGGAATTTGATATTGAATTAAGTCTACCAACATGGGATTTACTTACATAATTAGCCTGAAATCTCTGTTTAAAAACTGTTCCCTATCTTCCACTAGTGGCAAGAATAGGATTTACTGAATGATTAAATCATATAAACATATTTTACTCACAATAATGCCCCATAGAGAACATCCTGTTTTGTAAGTTATAGGTTCATACGTCCCAAAGACTCCTCTAATTTGTCCCATATACAAAATCAATAAGAAATACCACATGAAAACATGAAATATGCCAATCATAATCTGGACAGCCTGTGAGAAGAGAAGGTATTAGCACTGAAACTATGTGATTTATAACATAATAAATAAATTAACTATAAGAAACATGCAGTACTTTTATGAAAGATAAAAGTAAAATAGCAATGCACTTATCATGTATTTTCTGGACTGGTTAGCCCCAAAAGAAAGCCCTAACTAGGAAGTACTGAGGTTTACCAAATAGGAATTAGCCATACTTGGAGCATCAGACTGCTCAATAATAATTCTGGTCAATTCTCCCATAAAAGTTGATGATCTGACTCTACAATTAGCTATCCTCCATACCTATTAAGTAATGGCATGAGAGGAGAATACCGAAGGCATTTGGGGGAAAATAGGGGAAAATTTGGGGGATGCAGGAAGTCACGCATCCAATATATTCTTGTAAATTAGTAATTTATGAAGGTTGAAACACTTTTTACATCTTTTAAAGACTTATCTTTGCCTTCAAGGCATATTTGGTATCTATCTTTTTCACAAGTATGCTGCAGTAAGGTACAGTCCAACACAAAGATGCAGAGTACCTAGTGTAGACTTACTTGTACAAGGTCTTCCTATTGGATAGGGGATGGGTTGGTGGAGGGGAAAATTATTATTCAATTTTAATTTGTAAGATATTACAATCCAAGCAAATATGTGCCAGTGAATTTATTTCTCAATTTATAAATGAACAGGTATTTCATATACTGAATCACATTTTTAATTACTCTTTAAAAATTTCAGAGGTTGGGGCATCTCCTGGCTCAATCGGTAGAGCATGACGCTTGATCTCAGGGTTATGAGTTTAAGCACTATGTTGGGTGTGGAGCCTACTTAACAAAAAAAAAAAATTAAAAAAAAATAAAAAATAAAAAATAAATTCAGAGGATATATTATTTTCACTTTAATATAAACTTTATTTTAATTAATTTTTAAAATATTTTATTTACTTATTCATGAGAGACAGAGAGACAGAGGCAGAGACATAGGTAGAGGGAAAAGCAGGCTCCCCCAAGGGAGCCTGAAGTAGGACTAGATCCCAGGATCCTGGGATCACAACCTGAGCCAAAGGCAGACGCTCAACCACCCAGGAGCCCCTTAATATAAACTTTAATAGTAAGCTATTTAATGATTTAACTTTAATAGTCTCAGCTCTTTGTAAAGCAAGTAATCTAAAAATACATAAATGCAATTGACTAATATTAAAGATATATTTTAGAGAATTCTCTTTTATAGAAAGATCACTTTTTGTTAACAATCTTATGCATTTTTATAGTTTTAGAATTTAAGATTTCCTCTGCATCTAATTTGGAAGAAAAGCATTATTTTCAGAGATACTTTGGATTTGATTGGGAGAGAATCCTTTACTAGATTGCAAAATCCTTAAGAGCCTGGACTTTAGTTGTCTCACTGTTGTCACCAGTCTCCAAAAGCGGGTACCCAGCATACCTCTTGCATAAGCACATTAGTATGGAGAATATTAATTCCACATGACTTTCCAAAGTCTTAAATGAGTGAGCTTGAAAGATAGTGTCTCCTTTTATAATTGGCGGTTGTCCTATATAATACTAGGAAATATTTAAGTAGCCAAAGCTTGAAAAGAACTCTATAAGAATGCAAGGCTGCTAGTGTGTGGAGAACAAGCTGGGTTTTTTCACTTAAAAATGGTTTTTGACTTAGATCCAATGAATGGGACTTTAGGAGGTCATAGGCCTCTCCCATACACACACCAAAAATATGAGCGCAAATGATTACGATACATACACGAAGCTGGGGAGGAGATTCCGCACTTTCTTCCTATGTCCAAAAGGGTCTGTGACTCCAAAAAGATTATAAACTGCTGAAGTCAGGCGGGAGACTTAGACAATTAATCTACACAGTGGCTAAGTTCAAAGGAAAAGTTCTTTCTCCTTTAGATGTGAAAAAGCATGATCTTCATAATTCCTTGGTGTTTATTAAGAGCTAGCTCAGCTGTTTACAATTGAAGAGACAAACTAATAATCATCCTATTGCATAGACATCAATACGGTAATTGGAAGAAATCAGCAATAGATCCCTTTCCTGGTTTAAGAAAAAAAACACTTCTTTTTCTTTTATTCTTTTTTGGGATTTACTATCCTATGTATGTTGGTTTAGTCACTATGCTTATATATAAACATATATTTATGAAGAGACATGAGTGATCAGTCAAAATTTGTAGAAGACAATCAATATTAAAAAAAATATTTTTGGGTGAAGGGGAGTGGGAGATACAGGAAGATTGCAGATATGGAATGAATAAGGCACAGGAATAAAAGGCACAGCACAAGGAATATAGTCAGTAATACTGCTAAGCATTATATGATGACAGATGGTAGCTATGCTTGTGATAAGCTTAACATAATGTAGAGAGATATCAAATTATTACGTTGTACACCTGAAACTGATGTAACATTGTGTGTCAACTGTACTTAAATTTTTTTTTTTTAAATCCATTTTGAGGGATCCCTGGGTGGCTCAGTGGTTTAGAGCCTGCCTTCGGCCCAGGGCGTTATCCTGGAGTCCCGGGATCAAGTCCCACATCAGGCTCCCTGCATGGACCCTGCTTCTCCCTCTGCCTGTGTCTCTGCCTCTCTGTGTGTGTGTGTGTCTCTCATGAGTAAATAAATAAAATCCTTAAAAATAATAATAAAATAAAATCCATTTTGACCCTTTTGACTTAAGCAAATAAGCCCCTCTCCAGATTCAAGAATAATCCTTAGTAAATTGAAGTAGTGCATAGCCCTGAATTTAGTCAAAGTGAAGTTTTACTTACCCCTAAAACAAGACTATCTGCTGGAGAGATTTTTGAACACATACATGGAGCCATACTACCAGCATTTCTTCTAGATGATTATGCTTCTAATCTTTGGTGATATCTTTATTAACAAACTTCTACAAAACAATACAAAACATATATATACACTTTGCTCAAAAGAAGATACTTAAGTTTGATTCTTTCTTTGTTTTACAACCACCTCCCCAAACTATGAAGCAATTGCTCTCTCCTTTCTGTGCCTAACTTCATAAAGCTTGCATCTTCCTGTTCTGAATAACGGCCTCCACAAGTGAAAAGCCTCTCTCTACAACTAAAAAATAAAGGCATATTACAATCATTTTTTCTAAGTAGTAAACAGTGGCTCTGGATGATAAAATATGAAGAATGCTTAGGGAACAGTGTTAGAGAATTTTCAGTAAAGCTTTTAACAAATTATTTGCAATTCATAATCAGTTCAATGCAATTCATTATGACATGTTTGCGTTTCAAAACCAAGTTCTTGTACTTAAATTCATCATGGGTTCATGATATTTTTTTCTGATACATACTTGCTATCTAGTTCTTCTTTCTATATGAAAGAACTTTTTCTGCCACCAGACAACTTACCAAAGTTGCTTCCGCAATCCTAAAGGCTTCTCCTAGGAGTTCTTTTGTTGTTGTTTCTTCCCCCATCCCCCATTATTCCTGCATTTCTCCCTGGTGTTTAGGAAACCTTGCTGATAACTATATCCTTTGTAGATCTGACATTACATTGTTCTACATCTTCTAATATGTCATACTTAGGTCAGTAACACGAATCATGCCAGTTAGCCAGGTGATTATCTAATGGATGATCTTAAACCCTGAGCCTTGGTCCTTTCAAAAGGAGGGTTTGAGTCAATGACCTCTCACTCCCTGTACCCTTAAAATCTCATGATTTGATTATTTTAATGAGTCTTCAGTTTCTAAGATTGACTTTCTGAATATCCCTTAATTCTATAAAGTACAGAGACAGAAAAAAGCTAGGTAAGAATTACAAGACCTACTGGCTGTAGAGAAAATACTATGTTAATAATTTAAGTATAAATAATAAGTCTCATATATCAAACACCACCTTTGAGAAATATCAAAGAAAGGGTACAGCTGCCTAAAGGCAACCAAGGCAATCATTCTGTCATGCTTAAATAAAAGACACAGAATTAAAGAATTAATATGTTAAGTAACAGGAAGTCATGTCTAGATTGCTGTCGTCACTTTGGAGATAAAAGGAAAATAAGAAAACGTAATTACTCCTGAGATGGAGACCAGCATTGGGTTCCTTGCTCAGCAGAGTGGCTGCTTTTCCCTCTCCCTCTGTCCATCTCCCCACCTGTGCTCATGCTCACCCTCTCACTCTCTATCTCAAATAAATAAAATCTTTAAAAAAAAAAAAAGATAGCCCTTTTATGTATGTATACAAATTCTTTTCACAGCTGATAGTGGAAGCATCATGAGTGACTTGGGCAGAATATGTAGCAACATTATAGTTTCCATCGAGCCCCCTCCCAAATCTCCCCAGGTGAAGTATTCATTAAAATACAAGAAAAAAACAGACTGTGTGTTTAAAATTCTTTAGCTTAGTTGATGGAAGGAAGAAACTACGCCATGTATTTCTGAAATATAGAATACAAGAAACTACAATATATTTCTTTGGCTTAATTGATGGAAGGAAGAAAAAAGAAATGTATTTCTAAAATATAAGAAATATAAGAAATCACAACATATTTCTGGAACAAATAATGGTTAAACTTTTTACAAAAGCATTCTATTCTATCACCAGTTAAGTATTTCATTTTTGTAAAAAAAAAAAAAAAAAACAAACTCTAAATAAAATAAAAAATAAAACTTACTAACTTGTTTTTATTTTCTGGTGATCCCATCACTAAACCAAAAAGCACGTTCCAAAGAACAAGCAGAACAAGCCTCTAGCCCTTACCCCCACCCCTATCCTCATCCCAAACACCTGCTTTCTGACACGCAACCTTTCCAACGGTCAACAGGGAGCACAGGTCTGGAAACCACTTCTCCACTTTCAGCAGACGCGACTCGTCCTGCCTTCAGGATACAGCCCGCACCCTGCGGCCGGGTGGACGGAGCCCCCAAGAGCCGCTCCCTGCGCCCTCCGCGCCTCGTCGCGGCCCCTCCCGGGCTTCGTCGTCCCTAAGCCCCCAACAGCAGCCTCCTCTGCACGGCGCCCTCT